GGCTGCGGTGCCGGCCGGCCCCGCCGACACAGGCAGAGGGAGCGTCGCCACCCCCAGGCCCTAGGAAACTTTCAGGGCCTCCGGCGGTGGAGTGGGAGGAGGGGGCGCCGCGGGACCCCGGTCCGGTCGCTCGGCTCTGCCGGCCGGGGCGGTGGCCGCGCCTGGGCCGCTCCTAACCAAGGAGCGGGTTCGTTGTTTATCCGCAGAGGCCGGCGAGGGCCTGAGGGCTGGGAGCAATCGATCCTCCCGCACCAGGCCCGGGGACAGCGCTGCTCCCCAGTACGCAGTCCTTCCTCTTGGGCACCCCTTTCTGGTTCCCCGCAGCTGCTCCTGGGGACCCACTGGGAGAGCAAGGCTTCTGCCCTCCCAGGCCCTCCACACCCTAAATCCAGCCCTCGAGGAGTAAGAACTGCAGGACACACCCTAGACCAGTCCTGGTTCTTTTTTTGTTTTGAGATGAGGTCTCACTACATTGCCAGCCTCAAACTCCGTCTTCCTGCCTCAGCCTCCCAGTAGCTGGGGCTGCAGGTATGCACGTCCTGTGGCCTGGACTCTCATTCTTGCTAACGGGCTAGGTGACCGTGTGGAAGTCACTTGTACTCGCCCTGTCTTCGCCTGGAAGCAGAGGTCCCTAAATGTCCCCTCCTCCCTGGCTCTCCAGGTGCACCTCTGTCCCGCTCTGCTCGGAACTGGTCCTTCCTGCCTGGCCTCACACCTCAGCCACATATGCCAGGAGTCCGCAGTCAGTCACCCGCATTCTTTGGGCCTTGGTCACTGGTCCCCCGACCCCTGTCCCTTTCGGTCACTGGGCCCTGCTGCCTGGCACAGAACCCTCACAGGGGACAAGGACCGCTCTGATGTCTTCTTGTTCCGTGTGCATTGTAAGCCCCGAGTGGCCAGCATGGGCCTTTGGCTGTGTGCACACGTTTACTCCTGGCAGTTACCAAGTGCCTGCCGCGTGCCGGGTACTGTCCTAAATGTTTGGAGGACATCCAGGAGCCGAAAAGACAGTCACTGTTTGTAGAATGAATGAATGTGGCCTTGTATTGCGCCTCAAATGAGTTCCGGTTGAGAAATTGAAACACAGCCAAGGGAATGTATTGACTTACGTCTGCGCAGCACCTTACAGTTTGCACGGTACAGGCCCCTCCCCCTGCCCACCATCAGCAATGGGCATTTCTGGCTGGGCACAGGGCACTGTGTCCCTGAAGAGCTCAGCAGGCAGAGAGGCCCATACACTTCCGGGCTTGGAGATGCCGTGCTGGAGCCACTTTGGGGTACCATTTAGTGCTACAGGGAGAGGCGCGGTTACTTCCGCTCCTAGCTGCAGAAGCCTGAGACCTGGGAGGTGACACTGCCGGGGGCCACACAGGTGTGCAGGGCGGGGTGGGCATGGTCAGGGCCACGCCTGCGGCTGCCTTCCAGCCCTCCCAGCCTGCCTGACACTGCTGGGGTCAGGCCGTGAACAGACCCCCACACACACACACACCGCACTGGGACATCCTCGGGTCACTGTCAGTCACATCAGAAGTGACCGGCGCGGGGTGCACTCAGGCGGAAGAGGGGGCAGAAGCCAGGCCGCTGTGGGCTGCAGGGTGAGGAGCTGGAGAGGAAGGATGTGGGCCCCTGGCTCCAGAGGGGGGTCAGAGAGGCAGAGGCACTGGAGAGCTGTCTCTCTCAGCCGAGCACTTGAGGTGTTGGCTGTTGAGTCACAACAAAGCGGGTGGGTGAGGATGCAGGCGGGTGGAGAGCCTGAGGCAGGGTCCCTCCCTCCTGGAGGAAGTGAGAGCAGAGCGGCAGCAGGGAGCAGGGCAGAGGAGTGGTTAGCCCTGACACTCGGAGGCGCCGGAGGGCTTCCCCAGCACGGCCAGAGTGACTCAGGCGGGAAGGGGACAAAGCGGAAGTGGCTGCAGCCCAGGAGGTCCCGGCCAGCGCTGAGCACGGGGAGGACCCGGGCCTGGCGCTCAGCTGCACCCAGCTGCTAGGGTTGGGCTGGCGAGGGGGTGCTCTGGCCTGCTCCCCTAGAAGTTTGTGCTCCTTCTCTTTAGCTGACTGGACCAGCCTCTCCCGCCTCTTCGCGGCAGTCACTGTGACGGTAGCTAGCTGCCACCTCAGGTGACCCTCACAGCAATCCTCTGTGGGGGGGACACTTGTGATCCCCGTTCGCGGGTTACAGGGGGCAGACTGAGGTACTGGGAGGCCGAGTCACCCTGTCACAGTCCCATGAGTGAGGCAGGGCCGGGACTCCCACCCGATTGTCTTCTGCCCCTGCCCGCGCCCTTGCGCCTGCTGAGCCTGGTCCGCTCTCTTCTCTGGAGCATCTCTGAGCGCTAGAGTTTGAACTCGGACCTCTCTGGAGAGGCTGCCAGGGACATGAGGAAGTTTCTGGAACTTAATGGAAAAATCCTCCCGGATGAAGCCCGCAGCCCGGTCCACAGTAGGTTCTGTGCAGCAGAGGCCCTGGTGCCAACCCCGCCTGTCCCCTCCGCTTGGCCGGCAGCCTGGGTAGAGCTGGCTTTGTCTGCCTGTGTGGCAGAAGAGCTCTCTCATCGTCCCTGTCCCCACACAGACGGAACGTGCCTCAAGCTTAGCCTTCCGGAAGCATCTCCGCATCTGAGCTAGGACGCCGGCACTAAGTCGGCAGAGAGGGGCCTGCCAAGGGCTTCCCTAGCAGGTGCCTGGCACTGCAAACCAAGATTGCCCCTGCGATGAGAAGCCCAGATTTGGTTCTGACTTCCTTTGTGGTTTGGGGTGGAGCCCTTCAGAATCAGGAAGTGCAGGTGGGTGTGTTGCCACTCGCTGCTCTCCACTCAGAAGGCTGAGGCAGTAAGACTGCTTAAACCAGACCAGCCTGGGTAGCATAGTAAAAACCTGTTTCAAAGAATAAAATAAGAGCCAGCGTGGTGGCGCACGCCTGTAATCCCAGCACTCGGGAGGCTGAGGCAGGAGGATTGTTGAGAGTTCGAGGCCAGCCTGGGCTACAAAGTGAGTTCAAGACCAGCCTGAAGAGCACAGCAAGACCCTGTCTCAAAAAGACAAAACAAAAACAAAATAAAATAAAAAGCCAAGAGTGGTGGTTCATACCCATAACACCAGTATTCGCAGCACTCTGGAGTTTCAGGCTGGAGGATTTTAGTTTGAGGTCAGCCAGAGCTGCCTAGTAAGACCCTATCTCAACAAACAACAAATAAATAAATGTAAAATAAAAAACAAAACCCGGAGGAGAGGATGAGAACACACACTTGGCGAGGGCCGCTGGCGTGAGGCTGACTCCTGTCAGGCTGACTGTGGCCACCAAGGTCTTGCCTCCACCAGTGAGGCCCAGGCAGAGGGGAGGCTTTGCCCTGAGACCCGGAGTCAAATCCAGTGTGGCTGTGGCCTCTGCTCGTGGGCTCCCTGCCTTAGACGGGCCTAACGTCCATCCTGGGCTTCCAGGAGGGCTACATGGGACACAGCTCCAGGCACGGCATCTGGTCTGCGGCAGGCACAGAACACGTGTGTTCACAAGGCCACGTGCAGCCTGCCCAGGATGCCTGTGTGTTAGGAGACAGAGTGGGACGGGAAGGAGGCCACTGGCCGCTGAACACTTTGGGAGGAAGGGGTGGTGGTGGGATGTGACAGAATGTGCAGAGGGCAGGGCTCCTGACGGCAGCCCCCTGCAGGCAGGAGCAGGGGCACTGGCGAGGTGGGGCAGGGCTCGCGTGTGCAGAGCCCTGGGGCCCGGCCAGAGCTGGACTGTGCCTGCCTGAGGAGCCGACCTGGCCTCCAGGCACAGGGGCGCCCGGCCCACGGGGCAGAGGTTCCAAGGCCCCAGGACCAGGCTCCTGCTCAGACCACAGCGCTTGCCAGGCGGGACAGGGAGGGGGACGCAGCCCTGGCTGTGGCTGACCACACTGTGGGTCTCTCCCCAGGAGATCTGCACGGATCCCCAGTTCATTATCGGAGGAGCCACGCGCACAGACATCTGCCAGGGAGCCCTGGGTGAGTGGGGTGCGGCCAGCCGTGAGGCTGCAGGTGGGGTGGAGGGTGAGGGGTGAGGAGGGGCCGAGCTCTGCCCCTGACACTGCACCAAGGCACCAACTGTGCTGGTCTGCACCGAGGGGCTGCTGAGGCCATGGAGACCTGGGGCAGGGTGCCCCTCAGTCCCTGGGGCCCCATGAGGATGAGCTCTGTGGGGCCCAGGGCGGGGTGGGGGCCTGTGCAGGAAGAGGACCCTGGGAGCTGGCGGGGAGAGGAGACTGCAGGGCCACCACACAGCAGCCCGGCAGCTCCCGGAGGCCGTGTGGCCCTTGGTTACGTGGAGGGGACTTGGAGGACTGAGTGCCTGCTGCGTGAGGTGGCTCCAAGTCGCTTTGGATGTGCGTGTGCAAGGCTAGGAGCTCAGGGCCCTCCGTGTCCTTCCGAAAGCCCCAGGAGCAGTGGGCCTGGGCTGTTATGTGTAAGCTCTCAGAGTCACACTTAGGTTTTCTTATCTGTAATAAATGAGGGCCTGTGGGTAAGGAAGGAGATCTTTGGTCTTGTAAGCAGAAATGTGTCTCCTGCCGTCGGCCTTGGCCAGCCCGCCAAGCAAGCCCACCAGCACCAGGACGGACCGGCCAGAGCTTACCTGCTACCCTGGCCCAGGGGGCAAGACTCTGCCAATGTCCTCACACCTTCCGGACACTAAGCCAGGACTACAGCCTCGCAAGCCCTGTGATTCCCATTTCATAGAAGAGAATACTGAGGTCACCCTGCAGCCAGAGCGGGGCAGGTGCACTGTGCATTTGCTGTGAACCAGGTCTGCATGTGCAACACCCTGCAGCCCTCTACACGGGACCTGGGGTCATGTGAGCCCCAGGGGGATGTCAGGGCCCAAGGGATCGCTAGGATAGCATGGCCTGGGAGGGAGCTGTGACACGGGCCAAACTGACCTGAGAGAACAGATTCCTGAGATGCCAGAGACATTCTTATCTAAAGAAAACAGTCTCGGTCTCCCCGTGGCCCCACAGGAAGCAGAGGACAGATGCCGAAGGTGGGTGCGCCCGGAGCAGGTTAGAGGTGGTGGCTAGAAGTTCTGGGGTAAGGGAGAATCCAGTAACCAACGCAGCAGTTGCTGGACACCACTTCTGGACCAATGCCTGCTTCAGAATCCGGCAACATCAAACGGGCCGATCCCAACAGCAAGAGCACGGCTGAAAAGCCGCTGGATTCCACAGGGCCTCTTGAAGAGGAGATGGTAAAGCTTGCATTCCTGGGAGGAGTCGCCCTCTGTGGGTGCCAAACTGAATGAAAACACGGTGGAACGAGAACTCCTCAGAACTCCCCCAGCCCTGGTCCTCATTTCTACGGCTGTAAGCGCGGCTTGGGCTTCGCATTCTCTCGGGCTTCCTTTTGGAAGCTCCGGGTTGCAGTGCAGGCAGCACGCAGGCACTTTTGCCTACCTCTCGCCCTGATTCCGCGTCTGGGTGCCAGGGAAAGGGGTGGTGACCGCCACCGGGGCCCCCGGGCTCAGAAGCAGCAGGATGGGCCCTGGCACGGAGGCTCAGCAGGGTCCCAGGCTGGGGACGAGGCCAAGACCTTGCTCAGGCCCCGACCTCCCTCTCTTTCAAGCACGCAGAAGAGGAGGGAGCGGGTGGGGCACAGGGGACTGCAGGCGCCACTCTGTGGGAGCCTTGCTGCCCCTGCTCCGGGGGGCCGGGGCACCGTGGCCGCTCGTCTGTCCTCCCATGAGCGCAGGGGTGCGGGCAGCGGGCTCACCTGGGGGACAGCCTCCAGGTGTTGGGCGTCTCCTCTGCGTCTTCCCTGTGCTCATCCCGGGTCAGCAGCAAATGCTTTCCCGGGCTGCCCAGAGGAAAACGGGAGCGGGGAGCAGCGCGGCAGTAGCTGTACAGCTGCCTGAGGAGTGAGCCACAGCCGAGGTTAAAGCGGCGCCCTTTTCCAAGCCTGTGCTGCTGGGCTGGCACCACAAGGTCTTGAATTCCATTCCTGGTACCAAAAAAGAAATTAGACCCTGCTGCGTCTGTCGGCCGCTGCGCTGCCCAAGGCCCATTCTCAGTGACCCTCGGTTGCCCTGCTGAGCCTGGGGGCTGCAGCATTGACCCGCACCCTCCTCGGTGCCCTTCACAGCGCGGCCTGGCCATGGCAACCCACAGACCTCACTCTGCCCGGACACTCAGCCTGGCGCCCCGGGGAGCCAGACCCCGTTTGCAGAGCTGCTCCAGCCACGTGAGCGCAGCGCGGGGCTTGGCTGTGCTGGGAAAAGGCTCAGCACAGAGGGCCCGGGGGGCGCCATAATTGCCAGAGTGACTGCTGGGCGGGGATGGACTTCCCAGGCTGCGCTCCTCTTACCTCGCGGTTTTCCTGGCTGCACTTCCAACCCTCCCCACGCAGTTCACAGCAGCAGGGCCGGCTGCAGGCACAGGGCTCTGCCCTGAGGCCCTGGCGTCCTTGGGCACAGCCCACCCCGTGTCCTCAGCCCTCAGAGCTGGGTCACCTGCCCCCGCCCCAGAGTGACCTGGGCCCAGGACGGGCCCCTTGGAGCCCCGAGGCCAGCTAGGAGGAAAGGTGCGAAGGCAAGTACTGGCCCTGAGCCTCCCGCCCCCGAGAGCCAGAGCAGCTGCAAATCACCAGCTGTGAGACGGGCTTTGACCTAGGGCCTCTCGCCTTCTCGGGTGCGAGCGCCACACACACCCCGCAACCGCTGCACCGTGAACGTTTTACCTTCCCTGGCCACGGAAGAGCAGCGATGGCGAGGGCGCCTGCATCCACATCAGCCACGAGGCGTCCTGGGGGGACACAGGGGGCAGTCACACTGGGCCCCTCGTGCTCAGCGGCGTGGGGTAGAGGACTCAGCCTGCTGTGGGCTCCCGCCCCGTGGCCCCTGTGTGCTGGGCTCGGCAGCTCAGCGCACTTTTGTGGTTTATCTTAATGGGTGCTGGGCTCATGCTGGGTTTCTGGACTGTGGCCCTGGAGCTTGGTCACTGCCTGCAAGACAGCGCCCGAGCCCAGGTGGGCACCGTGCACAAGTTTCCCCCGACCTAGGTGGCAGGTGGGGAGGGTTAGGGTCCAGAGGGCACACGGGGAGGGGGAAGCCCATCCTGTCCTTCGAGAGGCTCCGTCTCTCAGCTTGGGTGGCCGTGGGGCAAAGAGTCCTTGCCCCAGCCTCGCCACTCCTGTGCCCCCAGAGCCGCGTCCTTGCTGCAGTTGCTGATCCAACTGTGGACTCTGGTGAACCCAGGGCCTTGGCGTCAAGATGCATCCCAGCCCTTCCATATTGTTTTTCTTTGAAACAGGGTCTCCCTGAGTTACCCAGGCAGGACTCCAACTTGCTATCCTCCTGCCTCGGCCTCCCTCAGTGCTGAGATTACAGGCCTGGGCCACTGTGCCTGGTTCAGATTCCTTAGTTTTTTCAGTTCTGTTGCAGAATCCAAGAGATCAGAGAGACCAGTGGGGAAGAAAGAGGATTTATTTCCAGGATTTTAGATGCACATTGACCCAGCCCCACTCGGTCCAAAGTGCTGGGCATCAGAACAAAGGAAAGGCTCTGGTTTCATCCATCTGGCTGAGGGGATTTGTCTTCAGAAGCCGGGGACGGGGCAAGCGAGGGACAGAAGCAAGGCAAAGCAGTAAGTCACTTAGCCTCAAAAGAAGACCCGGCCTATGACTCCTGCAGGAACATGACGGAGTAAACTCTGTTCCTGGACACAGCTGCCATCTTACCTGCACCAGAGAACAAGAAGTCTCATGGGGGTGGGGGACAGCGGTGGGGGGAGCCCACGGCGGAGGCCCTCTAAGTCCACTCTTGTTGTATCTCCCTAGGCCGCTCTGGGCATGACGCGTCTGGGTCTTCCCTGTTGTCCTTGACCCTGGCAGTTCCCAGGAGTCCGGACAGGGGTTTTGCAGGACGCCACTGTCCTGGAATTTGCAAGTGGCTTTTAAAAAATAAGGTGTGTGGTTTGGGGAAGAAAAGTTTACTTGGTTAGTCTGATGGAAAGAGTAAATCCCTCCGTTTCTCTTTCAAATGCAAAGGCCTCACCGCCCCCGCAGCCCCAGCCCACAGGCTGGACCCCTGAGTCCTGTTTCCTGTCTTCCTCCAGCCCACAAAGCGGGCTCATAGCTACTGTCCCAGGCGGAAGCTTGGAGCCGCCTGGTGCAGCTCCTAACCGGACAGGATGGGCACGCCCTGTCCCCGCCTGGCCATCACACGGTGGAGCCTGGAGAAAACCTCTGTCCCTGCCCTCTGGGACTTCCTGTCCCGCACACCTTCTCCAGAGCCCCTGGGTGCCCAGCAGGGACCTGGACCTGTGGGTCAGGTGTGACTTCTGCATTGTCTGGTGCCAGGAATGTGGGCTGGAGCCAGGCTACACCTGTGTTTCCCTAGCTCTGAGGCACTCTCCTGGGCAGGCCGTGGGGCTCTGGGCTGTCCGCCCCTTCCCCCAAGCCCTGCAGTGCGGTCCACCCTGGCCATGGTGGCTGTTTCACGCAGTCCCCTGTGGTGCTGGGCTTTTAGAAACGAGGACCCTGTGTTTTATGGCATCTGTGGGCCCTAGGCCCACTGCACTGTGAGGACCACAGGGCCAGCAGACTTGCAAGTCTGCCTGCCCCCTTGATTGTGGGCGAGGGCGACATGGCAGAGGGCCTGAGTCTGTCATTTTAAATGCAAATGGCCACAGGCGTCCTGCAGCACAGGCCAGGGCACCGTGGACGCTAAGCTCTGGGGCCAGCCTGTCCTTCGCTCTCCAGCGGGAGGTGGGGCCCCTGCTCTGCCCGGCGTGCATGGACACTCGGGGAGTTCCAGTCTGCAGCGCTGTCTCCCGGGCTGCTGCCAGGCATGCAGTAGGGAAGGGACACAGGGCAACTCAGCTGCCCAGCCCAGGCCTGGCGCCCCTGGTCACATCTCCCGGGAGAAGCCCCTCCCCGCCAGCCTGGGGCTGCACCCACCCTCGGGGCTCCCTCGACTCCTCCTCAGCTCTGCAGTCTAACAGCTCAGACTATGAGGCCCC